CCCCAAAATTTGACAGAGATAAAAAGTAACCTGACTTCAGTGAATAATTCCATTTCCATTCTTCCCTCAAACTGAAAACACACCCATACATGTACATTTTTAGAATAGGTTCTGACTACTGCCCTCATTTGGCACGCTGTACCTTGCATAGCAGCTCTCAGATGTAGTGCGTCTCATCAAGAGACAAAAAGGCAACTCACATTGCAAAACAGCAAACCATATGATAACCAGTTAATTCTTTAAAGAAAATACAAAATAATAACAGTTCTCACCTGCCAACGCAGATACTTATAATCCATATGTCCCACAAAGAGAGATTTTGTGGTAAAGGCATAAGGCTGCACTTCTACATCTGCTCTTGTAACCTTAAAACAAGATTTATTCATACACATTTACTGAAAGTTTCCTGAAGTTGCAAGCAGTATATCGTAATTATAATACATTTCCTTTGCTACAAGAAAAGCTAAGAAAGGTTATTCTGGCTTCTATGCAAGAATTTATCTATCAGAAAGTATGTTAATGGGATACGTGCTATTTTGGAAAAGATAATGATTTTTAATAGTGAAATCTATCGCAATTTTCCATTTATCCCTCCAGGAATTTCATTCCACCTCTACTCATACATTTGAATTTGCCAGCGCTCACATCAGACAGTGCCATAATGATATCAAATTGTTTAAATGTTACCTTACTTTAATTAAATGATATCTCAGTAATATTTTGGAAAAAAACCATTCACATACCTTATTTATAAAGCTAGATTTTCCAACATTTGGGTAGCCACACAACAGAAGAGTTCGCGTATTGGGATCGATGGTTGGCAAACGAGACAAATGTTGTCGCACTGAAATGTTAAAAAGATTTTTTAAAATATTTGCGATAATTTAAATTTTACTGAAATAGAATAAAAATTCATATGCTGAATTGTTTATATACAAATTAATAACTGTTCTGACATTATAAATTGATTGTTTATGAAAACGTATAATAGTTTGTAAACTCCACAAGTATCTACGTACAACAAAAAAAGAAACTTAATAAATACTTAAAAAATGAAGACCACTGTCTTTCAGCTAGAATGACCCCACCAAATCAGGCAACAAAACCCAAAGGAATAATAAGCCTGAAGCAAGGAGTAATGTTTGGAAAATGTTTAGCACTATTTTTCAAGTAAATGAAAATAACGATAAATAAAAGCATGGCTGTGACTTTCAAGCATAGAAAAACATTTTACAACTGTTAGTAATACCATAAAATGTACAGAATTTTCAAAGAGAAAGCTACTTAGTTAAAAAATAAATTCTAAGCCTTTGGGGATTTTGAAACTCTGTTTCCTGTGTCTATATTCTCTATTAGACACATTCTTCTAAGTGTAAGAATAAATTTTACAACCAATTCACATGCCTTGTTTCAGCCTATTTATAACACAAACCTTGCTCCAAATATTCCAAGCTTTGTTTCTGTCTTTTGATAATCGTGCACATTCGTCCCAGAGCAGCACGTTTCAGCTGTTTGCAGCGGTAAAGAGAATCACCATACTTCATCAGCCGCACATAGTCTTTAGCAACACTGTAGAGACAAGAAGTAAGAATTTAGCCAGCAATCAACCAGGCACGTACAAAATCGAAGAAATTAATGTCCCTTACTTGTCAATCAGATTCTTGGCGATATTAATCTGTCCCAAAGCCAGCTTGTAGTGATCTTTGTCATACAGAACATTCATCAAATCTGCATAAAAAGGATGAATATCCTAAAACAAAAGCATAAAATAAAATTAAGCCTCATATTTTTCTTCTGTAAGATGACTATTTCTTGGCAACTATGTAAGTTCATTTTTTTTCCTCCAGTACAGCAACACAGATTACAACACAACCCAAAGTGCTTTCAGTAATGTCTTACATAAGAAAAATAATCTGCCTGATCATTAAATGCATAAATCTTAATTACTTTGAATTTCTTCTACACATACATCTTGGACTCATTTGGAGTTTCCATTTTATCTTTTGCTAATACTGCATATTACAACTTCGAAGGCTTTTTTTTAAAAAATAAGGAAACTGCAAGAAACCTGCAGAAGTAGCTTCTAACAGCAAATTCACACTATACCAGAAACACAGCACCAATATCAATTCCTCCCTTTTTCTGAACGCTAGATTAAATTCTGTGTAAGAGTGGGTAAGGAGGGTTTCTTCAGTGCCTAAATAAACTTTTCAGCTTTCCAAGGAAGCAGCATCTTCGGTTCACATCTTTTAAACAAAATATTTAATCTACTTATGTACTTATTTGCAGAAATTTTGTCATGCGATGATAAACAAAATACAGAAGATATTTGTGGGAATTCTGCAGCAATACTCACTGGATGTGCAAAAAAACATGGTTGCAGGTCAACAATTTAAGCATGAGCAGAAAGCTGCCCATAAAAAAGCCTCACTGGCCACACGGATCCAGTTGCACTTGTTGGGAAGTTAAGACTATGTGCGTTTTGTCAGAGTGTGTTTCCAACACTACCCTTTATGGGGCCAACAGCAATGTTGATGCTATCAAAGTAACTTCTGAAGAACTGAAGATTAGAAGCAATGTAATATATTTGGATATTTCTTACTTCCTGGAAGTACTTTTTAGGGAAGACTAACCATAAGCACAATTTACATACACACAAAGAAGAAATAAGCAACACATACTTAAAGAAACCCACACTTCCTCTTCGTTCAACAGCAACTTCTGGCAAACATATTTGATCAGCTAAAACCTTGTAAAACCTTCAATGACCATCCATGGGCACAATTTAGACTTCCTTTCTTAGTAGGAACATACTGGTTTTGCAGGACAAATTTGCTTAAAATTACTCCCAGTAAAATCTACCATGAATCAGTCAAAATCGCCTACACATTGAATCAGCAAGACGTTGCTCAGGCCAAAACAAACTCGAATAAAACCAATATGCTGTTGAAGAAGTATTCCTCATGGCACGAAAGCAAAGTTCCTTTATGATCAAATGACAAAACACTTACATCTAATTTGGGGAAATCTGTTAAGATCTGAGTGAGTCTATCATGGTAATTTTGTTGAGTGTATTTGACTTTCCGCATGTAAAAATGTCGAATCCGATGGATTTGATAATGTTTATGAATGACAGTCGGAGTCTTCCGCTGAGTCTTCGACAAGGTCAAATCTATGAAGTCCTGCAATCAAGGAAACGTTATTAATTATACAAATTGCCAAGTTCTTACAAAGCCGTACAGTTTATTTGGGCGGAGGCGCGGGCAGACCAGCTAAGCGCATCCACGCCACGCGTGCTTCGCCGCCTACCGAAGCACGGGTT